AGTGGGACTAATGACAGCCTCAGGGCTGGGGCGTGGGGACTAACCGAGACAAGCTTGCACAGTGCTTACACATCCAGGCACTAATGGTTAGTGAGGCTCAGACAGCCCAGCCGTTGTCATGGTGAACTGTGTGACCTCGTCACGCTAGTACGGCTCTCACCTTAGATCATCAAGGGGTTGAGGACAGGTTGGAAGGTCTGGTTTGACCATAATAGCAGCAGCTAACAGAGTGCTGGCTCTGCAGGAGCTGTTTCAAGCCCTGCCTTGCCCATTAATGCAGTTGATCCTCGATGAGGTAAGTACTCCTATTATCCCATTTTACAGATAAGCACAAGGAGGGAGGGTGGGAGAGCCTGAGCGACTTACCTGAGGGCACAGAGCTGCTAAGAAGCAGAGTTGGGAGTTGAACCTAGGCCGGCTGGCGCCCCATCAGTCTTCTACTCATTGCCGCCTTGATTTACAGACAAGGGCCCCAGGCTCAGAGTGGGGAAGGGACTTGTACTGTCTCCTGGCAGGTGAGCACCCTCCTCAGCCCCAACTCTCTTCTTGCCACCAGACCCAGCCTAGTGCCGTGCAGGTGGACTGTGAGCCCTCTGTCGGTTGTGAGCCGGCTGCAGTTCCTGAGGTGTGAGCTAGGAGAGGGTCCAGGGTGAGGCAGGTGGCCCGGTGGTGACTCCCACCTGAGGCCAGACAGCACCTCCCCACTCTCACAGAGCCCTGAGGGCATGGTAGCTTGCCTTCTCCCTCTCTCTTCTCCAGGGGCTTTGGGGCAGGGTGGTGCACATCCTCCTGGGACCTGAGCTGGCTCAGGGCAGCGGACAGGCCAGCCTCTGTGCACCTCCTGGGCTGGCTCCTGGCTGGAACACATCTCTCAGCGCTGCAGCTTTCACGGGAGAAAGCGTGAGTCACCGGGGCCTCTCAGGCTCAGGTGAATGGAGCGCTGTGTGAGGGACGAGTTTCTGTCTCTCTTGGGCCCCACAGGCTGGTGACCGCTCATGTGATTTTACTGGAAGTTCTTTCCAAGAGGTCTCCGTGACCCATGGGCTGAGTCACAGAGTAAACACAGTCTGCAGGGCCCGCAGTGCTCTTGGGAAGGGCGCAGACGGTGCGTGGCCCAGGCTGGCCCGGAGTGTGCTGCTCTCTCCACGCCTTCCGCCTTGACTTGGTTTGCGTTCCACCTGCAGGCCCTGGCCAGCCACGGACCCTGCATTCTTTCTGGCTGCGGACCTGGCCTGGGGCTTGGCAGAAATGCGGAATCTCAGACCTCACCCTGATCTGCCCAGGTAGAGCCTGCACTTGGGCCAGGCTCCGAGGTAACTCCTACAGTCAAGAACCCCTCTCTGGTTCCCAGGCCATGAACCCCCGGGGCGCATGCTCTGCTCTCCTTTGCTGGAAACGTTTCCAGATCATCAGCTTTCTCTGGGCCTGGCAGGACCTCTGCGCAGGCGTGCATGAGGCTGCGGGGCACGTCCTGAGGGCAGTGCCTGCTGTCCGTGGGCATGGGGGCAGTGCAGGGGGCGCGCCTTCATCTGGGCCTCTCCTGGAAGTGGAGGATGTGTAGGCGTCAGAGCAGGTGGGGTGCAGGTGTCTTGGACATGGCTGAGAGTGAGGGGCTGAGAGTTGCAGGGGTTCTGTGGGAGAGACTCCTGGTGGCCTCTAGATCTGATTGTGAAACCCCAGAGGTAGATGACGCTTGACACCGCCTCTCAGAAGCACCGGCTTGGAAAAAAGACCATGTGACTCCTGTGCCAATTCCCGAAAGTCCTGACCACACAGGCCTTTTAAGACCACAATAGCCGCAGAGACAAAGCGTGACCAAGACAATGTCGTCTTCGGGCCCTTTCCACCCCCCGAATGACGTCCAAGGCCCTGGGAACATTGTAAAAGCTGGGCCCTGTCCAATTTTAATCGCTCCTTGCCGGCCCCCCACCCGTAGCTCCCAGGAACCTTGCCAGCTGACTCGGGGGTGGTGATGCCCAGAGATGCAGGCAGAGATGTCACACCGTCCCTGGGTCAGGCCCCAGAGCTCCGGCAGGACTTCGGGGACAGGGGAGAGGAGCAGAATGTGTTGGTTGGCCAGTTGACTCCCCCACCTGGGGTGGGAGATGGGGCGGGGGCGGCGGGGGGGAGAAGGCTGTCTGCCAAGTTTAATTAACAGTGGAAACTCGCCACAGGGAAGGAGAGAGACCATCTGAAGAGGAGGGGCTGTTTACTGGAAGATGGGGCACTGCTGGTGCCAGTATGAGGAAGGAGCGAGGCGCTCCTACAGGGAGCGTCCAGCAGAGCACTGGCGCCCTGACCGCCAAGTTGCAGGCAGGATTGGCTAGAACTCCGAGAACCTGGAGGTGTGAGTGGGAGAGTTTATTTATGCCTGCCTTTCTGAGTTGGCGTCTTTTGAAAACAGTCCACCAGCCTACCAGCTGGCTAGCCTTCCTTGCCCCCATACATGAAAGAAATAATTGAGAAAATGGCGACTGTGTTTAAAAATAGGCATCGTGTGGCCTCTTGTTCTTTGAGGATGTCATGGTCTGCCTGAGCTGCACCTGACTTTGTTTCATGGATCCCTACCCAACACTCGACATGTATGATCTGGGAAGAGAGATCATTTGAGAAGTTTGTGGTGCTCATTGTTTAAAACAAAAATGCAGAGATGTTGAATGGACAGTGAAATGAATTCAGTGTGGGTTGAACTTGAATACAGGAGGTATTTCATTGAGCATTCCTATTCGTTTTTTAGTAGGATCAGGGCATTTCAGGGCTGAATAGGGTTTTAGCCTCCTTCTGATGGTGTGCAAGTCCCCGCTGATTCCCAGCCACGTGTGCTCGGGGCAGCATGGACTGTTGGGCCACCCTGACCTGGGGCTTTCTCCACATTTCCCTGCTGTTCCCGGCGCTGCTGCGGCAGGCCATGGGGAACAAATGGAATCCCTTCTGACACTCCTCCTTGAAGACAGAACACCGGCCCACTCCCCAACTCATTCTCTTCAGTCCACGCGAAACACCTATAGGTTCTTCAGAGATTCTCACAAAATGTGATCATGAGGTCACTGGTCTTTCCTGGCCGCTGTTCTAGTTTCTGCCATCACCAAAGTCCCCCTTTTCTTCTCTTCTTTCGCTCTCCTTTCATCTCTTTTTCGTGTGGGCACACCTGCTAGCTCAGATGCACCGGTTGTCCATCTCTCTGCCCTCCATTGTGGTCTTTTTCTTCTCCCCCCAATTTTCCCCTTCCCCTGGGGCCTCTCCTGCTCCCCGCCTCCTCCTCTCCCTCTCCTCAGTCTACTCCAGCCATGGGCAAACTATGGCCCGATCCAGCCCGTTTGAAATGAATAAAACTAAAAAAAAAAAAAAAAGACCGTACCCTTTTATGTAATGATGTTTACTTTGAATTTATATTAGTTCACACAAACACTCCATCCATGCTTTTGTTCCGGCCCTCCGGTCCAGTTTAAGAACCCATTGTGGCCCTCAAGTCAAAAAGTTTGCCCACCCCTGGCTCCCATCTCTCCTTTCTTTCCCTCCTGAGGATGAGTTGCATGTATGGGGTGACTAGTCAGAATTGAGATGGGAGCGAACCCCTTAAATTTGGCCCCACATTTCTGGTCCTGGAGCCCTAGATATTAGTTCTTGGCCGCTTTCTGACACCAAGTCCTCAGGCTTGTTCACATCCCATCCTGGGTTCACCCACCATGCCCAGTACACACCCCTCTTCATTATAGTTCTTTTGGTTCCAAGAACAAAACATTGCATTCCTCCCGTTACCTTGTTTTGAGTGACCCACCATCTCTGCGTGTTGTGCTTTTTGAAACTCCCAGTTTAGTCTCCGAGTCTGTTCACTCTCTTAACTTTGTGTCGTCCATAGTCTTGCTAAGCAAGGCACACCTTCTGTTGCCATGAATCGGTGGAGAGTGGAATCGCTGAGGTGGGGCAGGCGAAGGACCCCGTAAGCCGCCTGGCTGAACGCTTCATCTTACAGACCAGGACAGAGTTTCAGGAAACTGATGTGATTTGCTCAGCATCATCCAGCTCCTCGCACTCGGACACGAGCTGAGTTCAGAAGCTGGGTTTCCTGGCCCGGAGGCTTTTCCTGATGCTAGGCGGGAATATCCTGTCTGAAAATATCGGAATTCAAACAAACCCATAGTGGTTGTGTGTCTGTGGCCAGGAGTTGTGTGTCTGTAACAGTGATGGCGAACCTATGACACGGTGTCAGAGGTGACACGCGAACTCATTTTTTTGGTTGATTTTTCTTTGTTAAATGGCATTTAAATATATCAAATAAATATCAAAAATATAAGTCTTTGTTTTACTATGGTTGCAAATATCAAAAAATTTCTATTTGTGACACGGCACCAGAGTTAAGTTAGGGTTTTTCAAAATGCTGACACGCCGAGCTCAAAAGGTTCGCCATCACTGGCTTATAACATTGTGTTGACAAACAACAACAAAAGGTGCTACTCCCTGGCTTCGAGGACAGTGTAATTGCTCTGAACTTGATGAGTAACTTTTAATAAGGGGGTAGACACTGACTAATTATTAAGGACTGAGCTTGAATACAGTTAGAACCTAAGAACAGAGTAGTCTGGCAAAAACCACAGGTAGTTCATCAACGGTCAATTTATGCTGTTACCCTCTGCATGGAAGCCAGAATTATATTGATACTATCTGTGGGGGATCCTCACTGCATTTAACCGGGGCATGCTGCTCCCTCGCTGAGCCTTTCCCCAGATGTCCCAGTAGGAAGCCAGCAGGCATTCCAAGTTCCACGCTGCCTCCAGAGCTGAGGGTGCGGAAGGTGAGGCAGAGGCACCAAAGACTCGTCCCTGCCCACTGCCCACTGCCCCTGCCCTGCCTGGCCCTTGGGATTCGGTTTCTGGTCCCTGGTGCAGGGCCGGTTCTCAGCTTGGCGATGGCTGAAGGTCAGTTGGTCCGGCAGTGGTCTGGGGTATAGACAGGAGGCCCCTTGGGGTTAGTAACAAATGCTCTCCCTTTCTGCCCCCAGGCTCCACCTACAGCGTCTTGTCCATCATGCCCTCCGACTCTGAGAGCAGCAGCTCCCTCAGCAGTGTGGGTGAGTACCGTCTCCCGGCTCCTCCTTCCTGCAGAGTCAGCGGGCCAGGGTCTGGGTGCGAGCCAGGGCAGCCCCGGGTCCAGGGGATGGGAAGCTGGCCCTCACCTTGGATATTACTCATGGGCTCACCTTCTGTTGATTCCATTTACATTTTCTCCTCAGCAGTATGTTGTCTTCGCGGAGAGGGCAGGAATCTGTCTCTGGCCGTCAAAGGGTGGTGGGTGCCGGGGGAGGTACCTGTTTTGCCGTTTCGTCACTTGTCAGGGCACAGGACTTCTCAGTGAGCTCCCCCGGCCCCCACCAAGGCCCCCTGTCCATGAGACTGGCCCCTTGGGGACTGTCCTTTAAGCAGGAACAGCCTGCCAGGGTTGTTGCCATGGGGACAGGAGTGGCAGTCCATCCTGACATGGATGTTTCCAGAAGCCCATAGCGTGAGGCCGGCTGTGCTTTCACTTGATTGAGGACATCCTGGCAGGAAGATTGCTGTAGTCCCCCCGCTGTCCCACACCGCTGTGCCCGCCCCTGTGCCACACGCCCTCTGTTTAATACCCTGGGGGCAGTTTCTGATATCCCGAGCTGGTCTGGGTGGATGGGGACCCCTTCAGTGGTGAGGTGACTCCTGGAGTTTTTGAGTTGAAAGGGCTCACACAGACCATCTGGTCTGTGTATTTGGTTTTCCTTCCTACAGACGGATGGGGAGATTTCCACTCAGGGAGGGGAGCCTCACGCCAGAGATTCCAGAGCTCGGGGCAGGCCTTCCTGGCTGTGTGCTCTCTGGGCGACAGTTGAGACCCCTCCAGGTGCCAGAAGTGGGTTTGGGATGTGGTAGTGACCACAGGCGTGGTCCCCGTGCTTGTGCATCTTGGGGTCTATGGGGGGAGACAGTTACAGAAGTGTACAAAGGTGAGGCCAGAGTGATCGGAAGGGAAGACAGGCATGGTAGGGGTACTGTAGTCATTTGCTGTGGCTGCCATAGGAAGTACCACAAACGGTGTGGCTTGTATGACAGAGGGATTTTCTCACAGTTCTGGAGGCTAGAGGACTGAGACCAAGGTGTGGTGTTGGCAGGGCCGTGCCCCTCTGAAGGGTCCAGGGGAGGGTCTGTTCCAGGCCTCTCCTGGCTGCTGCGGCTGCTAGCAGTCTTCGATGCTCCTTGGCTTGGAGATGCATCACCCAGTCTGCCCAAGCCTTCATCCTCACATGATGCTCTCTCTGTGTGTCTCCAAATTTCTCCTCTTAAAAGGACACCAGTCATATTGGCTTAGGGGTCTCCTTACTCGCCCAGTGTGACCTCATTGTAACTTGATCATATGTAAAAACCGTACGTCCAAATGAGGTCACATTCTCATTTACAAGGGATTAGGACTTGAGCATCTTTTTGGAAGACAAAATTCAGCCCCTCACAGGTTCCCTCATCCTGGGTAGGGTTCAGGGAGGACTCTTCTGGGACCATAATTCAGAGCTGCTGCGTCTCTATCACTTTGTCCTTCCTGCTTTGGGTCCAGGAGACACGTTGATTGCAGGATGGGATTGTCGGAATTTCGAACTTGGGGCTGGCTGTCAGGAAGCACCTGGGTGTGCAGTAGGGATGAGGAGAGCAGTGAGGTGCGGCTTTTGTAAAGCTGTGAACTGGTTGAGTCCTGAGTGTGTACCCCTTGCCTCTCTCCTGCTTTACCCTTTTCCAGCTTCCTGTTCCTTGGGAACGAGGTACAGGGATCGAACTTATTCAGCTTCACATCCACACTGCAAGGCTGAAGCCAGCACCCTTTCCGGGAGCATTTGCATGTTAAAAGGGGACCCCAGAGAGAGAGAGATCTTGTTTAAACCACAGCCAGCTAGAGAAGGAGGTGTTTTTCCAGACCTCCTCATGCCTGGAAGGAGCCTTGTCAGTAGCCCGCCATTTAGCTCTGCACACACTGGTGGTCCTTGGGAGGAGGGGTCAGGAGTGTCCCCGGATCTTGTTAACAGGCAGACAGGGAGCGTGCTGTGTCCAGATCTTGAATGCCGCAAGACCGGGCTGCATCCCTCAGGTCCAGCCCTCTTCAGTTCACCAGAACAGGGTTTGCTTCTCTCACTCTTCTGCATGCAGGTGACGCGCCCTTCGGGTGGCTAGCTCCATGTCCTCATGGCTGCAGCAACAGGGATTACCGACGCACACCGCTTTAAACAAAGACATGCATGACCTTGAACAGTAAGAAGTGAACATCCATGGTGTGGTGTCCTCCCCCTCAGGCTTATGGGGACAGTGTCCTGGGCCCTGATGTCCATTATGGGAGCCACAGGCCATAGGTGGCTTTTACAGTAAATTCAAAATAATTAAAATGAAATAAAATTTCTAGTTTCAGTAGTCACACTAACCACATTTCAGGTGCTGATGACCACCTGTGGCTAGTGGCTGCCGTCCTGGATAGAGCAGGTAAAAGAACATCTCTGTCGCATGAACTGTCCTCTCAGAGGACAAGAGGGTTGTCTCGTTATGAGCAGGGAAGCCTTCCCCAGAACTCCCTCAGCACAGTCTCCTCTCACTGAAAAAAAAAACCGCTTGTCCACATCCGAACTGGTGCTCACCCAGTGTGGCCCCTGGACCAGCAGCCCTCGGGCATGTTTTAGAAATGCAGGTGCCAGGCTCCACCTCCTGCCTGCTGTATCAGAAGCTCTGAGCGTGGGCCCGCATGTGGGCGCCCTCCTGGTCTGGGTTGGGTGGGCCTAACCTAAGCCCTGGCAAGAGAACCGGAATGCGGGGGCTGGTGTGGACCATCCCTGGGTGTGGAATGAAGGGTGGGGTCAGCCGCGGGACCACTGCGGGGCCTCCTGGAGAATCCGTCCTGGCGCAGCCTTCACCCAGTGCCGCAGCCCTTCCTTTCCCGGGGGCACCGGCCGTTCAGGTGGAGACTGGCTGTTTCTGTTCGAACCTAAGGGAAGGCAAGAGAAAGGTCTTAGAATAAAAATGTCACCTCTGCTCTTCCACGTATATCTTCCTAACAAAGGACATTTGGGAAGAGAATGGTAAGTTGTATTCCGCATAAGAGAAACTGGTAGATGAAACCTTGAGTATATGACATGTTCTTAACGCCGGGTCTCCTGGTTGGCGGTAGATCCTTAGGTGGTCTGTCCCGTTTCAGCTCTCCAGCTTGATCCCGCTGATACCTCACCCTGCCTTTGCCAGCAAATGGTCCTTCCTTCCTTCCTTCCTTCCTTCCTTCCTTCCTTCCTTCCTTCCTTCCTTCCTTCCTTCCTTCCTCCTTCCTTCCTTCCTTCCTTCCTTCCTTCCTTCCTTCCTTCCTTCCTTCCTTCCTAGTGTAAAATTTTTATATTTAGAATTAGGCAGCTGGACTCATTTTAGATGATCCCAGCTTTGTTGGCAACACCCAAAGCATCATCGTCAGGAGCCAGTCGAACGCATGCCTCCTTCTCGCCATCGGGTCTTATCGGGGCGTTGACCTTGGCACCTCAGTGTCACAGAGCTTCCTCACAGCCTGCCTGACCTGGTGCTTGTTGGCCTGGACATCCACAAGGAGCACAGTGCATTGCCGTCTTCTGTCTTCTCCATGGCTGACTCGGTGGTCGGGGGATTTGATGGTGGCACAGTGGGCAGGCTTGTTTCTCCTGGGTGCACTTTTCTGAGGATGTTTGGCTGCTTTTGGAGCCTCAGTGTCTTTGGCTGTCAGAAGGTGGGTGGCCTCCGGATCTTCTTTGTGTGGCTGTGGGAGCCTTTCAGCACTGCTTTCTTTGACTTCAAAGCCTTTGGTTTGGCTTCGGCTTTGGGAGAGATAGGGGCTTCCTCCTTAGCTTTTGGCACCTTCTTCACCATCTTTGTAAAAAGCTCCAGGCAGTTTTCATCAGCCGAGTGTGGAGGCTTCGTGGAGGCCCTCCCCCATCCCCTGCAGCCCTTCGCTAAGGAACCTACCCCCGGGGAGGCCCCAGGGATCTGCCGGGATAGCACACTTCACATGCTTTCCTCCCCCTACATCGCACCTGACTTCCCTGGTGCCTTTTATTTCTCCTCTCCAGTAACTGGGGCAGTTTTAAGTAGAAGCATTCTTGGGTAGCATTTATAAAATGAGACTTAAATGTCATATAAATTGAAGTAACAAGAGGGATTTCTCATTGAACAGAGAGTTCTCTGGCCTGTTGGCAGGGCTGGGAGCCTGAGAGCGTCCTTCATGTCCCAGCGATGATTTCTTGAAAGTGCAGCTTCTGGTTGACAAGGAAGGTGGAGGCAGGGCTGCACCCTCTGACCCTTCCTTCTCTGGTCCTTTGGGACCAGGGGCCTGTTTTTCTCTCAGTTCAACAGAGGAATAGGAGCATCTCTCCTCTTGGAGTGTGCGTTCAGTCTCGTAGGGATCCCACTGGGGCCTGGCCCCTGACCTGAGAGTCCAGCCAGTGTCTCAGTCCATCCAGGCTGCTCTAACAGAACGGGTGGCTCAAAGACAAGCATGTATTTCTCCCCGTTCTGGAGCCTGGGAGGTCCAAGATCAAGGTGCTAAGGCCGCTGCAGCATCTGGTGGGGCTCATTGCCTGGCTCAGTGGTGGCACCTTCCCGCTGGAACCTACCTGGCAGGGTTGGAAGAGAGCTCTCTCTAGGGGTGGGGTTCCTTTATGACACATTAATCCCATTCATGAGCGCTCCAAACTCATAACCTAATCACCCCAAAAGGCCTCACCTCCTAATATCACCCGTTCGGGGTTAGGATTTCAACATAGGAATTGGGGGGGACGGGCACAAACATTCAGACCTTGGCAGCAGAGATAGGCTACTGGTCGTTCTGCGTGTGAAACAGAAAGGAACAGCCCGGGAACGAGCAGCTGTTTCTGATGAGTGCAGCAGAGTGAGTTCCAGGGAGGGGGCCCTTCAGGTGGGCATCCAGGGCGTGGCTCCGGAGGCAGTAGGCCGGCTCTGTGTGTCTAGGTTGGGTTTCTGCCACGCAGATCCCGAGTTTAGGACTGAGAGCAAGTAGCTTCTCCGGGAGGAGAACTGGGAGCTGGGCAAGGCTACAGCTGCTGCTTGGCGTCTAACCTCCTCGCCCTGAGTCCTGGGAGGAGCTGAGCTGTGGGCTGCAGGACCGAGGAGGCCGTGCCCCTGGTTCCATATTTAGGGAAGTGGTCCTCCCTGCGTTTCATCAAAGGGTGATGCCTTTAAGTGCAGTGGCTAGTGGACAGCCAGTAAAACAAGAAAGGAAAAGCCCTACCTGGTTTGGCTCAATGGATAGAGCGTTGGCCTGCGGACTGAAGGGTTCCAGGTGCGATTCCAGTCAAGGGCATATGCCCGGGTTGCGGGCTCGATCCCTAGTAGGGAGTGCGCAGGAGGCAGCCGATCAATGATTCTCTCTCATCATTGATGTTTCTATCTCTCTCTTCCTCTCTCTGAAGTCAATTAAAAACAAAACAAAACAAAACAAAACAACAAGGAAGGAACAGCTATGTTGGGCCACAAATGGAGCTTTGTCAGGCATCAGAATCACCTGGAGGGGATCACCCCAGGGTTTCTGATTCAGTAGGTCTGGGTGGGGCCTGAAATGTGCATTTCTAACAAGTTCTCTCCTGATGCTAAGATGCTTCCAGAAGCACTGGCTCCAGGTGTGGGACTGCTTCCCCCGTGGCCCTGGCTCTGCTGGCTGGAGCGGAGGTTGGCTTGGGTTTGCTCTCTGCTGCCTGTGATGACCTCGTCCTGCTGCTCCTTTGCTTCTCCCCTGACAGCCAGGACCAGGAGGTGGCCAGAACATTTACCTGGGCATCCTCACTCCACCTGACCACATCTGGCCAGTACCAACTTCCTCCTTGGCTCTGGCACCATGCCACAGGGCTCTGAGGCAGAGCTGCCACCTGTCCAGCTGTAGATAAGACTGAGGGGCAGCCTTTGGGATCGGCTGGAGTGTGGTGATGAGGGAGCCAAGGACAAAGGGACTATGGCCAAGAAGCCCACCCAGCGGCCAGGCTGCTCACTGAGCCTCGTGGTCTGTGGGGGTGGCCACATCAGCTGGGGCGACGAGGAGGAGGAGCCAGGACTCCTGTGGTGGAGACAGGGCTCTGCCCTCTGGTTCTGCTGCTCCCCTCATGCCAGGGCCCAGTGAGTGATGGCTCCTTGTCCAGAGTCCAGGGCCTGTGTCAGGTCTCCTGGAATCTCCCTCCACCCCTTTTGAGGCCGTTTCAGTGCGATCACATCCCTTACCCGCTGAATCCCATCTGAGACACTAAAAAGGAAAAGAAAATCTGCCTTCTCAAGTGGGTTCCAGACATGGAAAGAGGAAGGGGTGAAGCTGGGGAGAATGGGCAGTTTAGCATTTGAATCTGAAAGAACAGCTGTCCAGGATAGGAGAGAGAAGTGGCATTTGGCATTTTTGGACAACTCACTTTTTAAAAACATGTACCTTTATTGTAGAAAATATTACAGGTGTCCCCCTCCCCCATTAATCCTCTCTTCCCAATCCAGCTCCCTCCCCAAGCCTTCCCCCACTATTGTCTGTCCATGGGCTATGCACGTATGTATATTAGTTCATTGGTTAATCTCTTCCCGCTGCCCCCTTCCCTCTGGAATACATTGGACAACTCACCCTGATTTTGTTTGTTCTTTAAGATGTTTATCAGACCTGCAGTGGCTGGAGAAGGGCTCACAGTCCCCATCGCTGCCCCAGCCACTCCACTCCTCGGATGTGGCTTCCGTTTAGGGCCCCACAGATGTAGTTGTTTTTTTAACTTAATTTTTTTGTTAAGGTATAAATGACATACAGTAACATTTATCCTTTTTAGCATCCGTTCAATGAGTTGTGACAAACTCATGACCATTTAACCATGGTCTCAGTGAAGATACAGAACAATTCCTTCACCCGAAACATTTCCTTCTGTGGCTTTGTAGTTCGCCTTCCACCTTCCACCCCCCGCACCTGGCAGCCACTGACCTCTTCCTGCTGCTAGAGTTTACCTTGTCCTGAGTATCGTGAATGTAATCCTGTAGCACAAGCATGTCACACCCGCCGGCCGCGAGGTTGACACGCTTGCGGTAGTGTGCAGCCTTCCGAGTCTGGCTTCTCTCACGTAGCACCCACGGCATTGCGGTTCCCCCATGCTGCTGCGTATATTGGTAGTTTGATCAGTTGTCCATCTTTTTTACTGCTGAGTAGTATTCCATTGTAGAAACGTAATGCTGCTGTTTATCCATTCACCAGCTTCTACAAACAGTTGTGTGCTGGTTTTGTGTGAACATAAATTTTCATTTCTCCTGTGTAAATAGTTGTGGGGGGGATCATGAGTAGTGTGATAAACGTGTATTTAACTTTATAAAAGACTATCAAAGTGTTTTCTAAAGTGGCTGTGTCATTGCGTATTCCTACCAGCAGTGTTTGAGAATTCCAGTTTCTCTGCATTCTTGCCAGCATTTGGTGTTGCTACTTTTAAAAAAAATAATTAAAAAAAATATTTTTATTGATTTCATGGAGGAAGGGAGAGGGAGAGAGAGATAGAAGTATCAATGATGAGAGAGAATCATTGATCAGCTGCCTCCTGCACACCCTATCTGGGAATCAAGCCCACAACCCGGGCATGTACCCTTGACCGGAATCGAACCCAGGACCTTTCAGAGTCCTCAGGCCGACGCTCTATCCACTGAGCCAAACCAGCTAGGGCTGGTGTTGCTGCTTTTTACTGTCAGCTGTTCTGGTAGCGACATAGGGACTTGATAGCTGTCTTCAGTACTTGCAGGTCTGGGAGGAGGAGGGGAAGGGCTGGTCTGGGCTCCACTTTAGAGAACATTCTGACCCCAGAGTTCTGGCCTGGAGCACAGGAGTCCTGGGGGGCAGGGTGTGGTGGTTTTAAAATAACATGCACTTCGGGGAGAACTAGATTTAGGTGGCTGGGGTACCGGTGTTGGGAACCTGAGCTGAGCATGAGGCTCCTACCTCAGACCAGGGTATGGCTTGTCACCACAGTGTGGAGCTCCCCATCCTCCATGCACTCCTGGGAAATGCAGGCCACGCCCGGGCACCCCTCTTTTGTCTTGGTGGGGGCACTTGGTTTTTGTGAGCAGCCAGCCAACAAGGGTCATGGAGGTTTGGGGGGTCAGGATGGCAGCGTTAGAGACATGCCTGTGCCCTTCGCACATTCTAGGGCTCCTGGGCGAGTCAGCCTCCTGGGTCCCGTCCATGAAATGGGAAGGCTGCTCTGAGTTCCTGGCTCCCTGAGGGTCGAGGGCGTCTCAGGTGAACATACGGACAGAGTTGAATATAAAACAGCATGGACTCATCTCCTTCCCGGACATTTGAGTGTGGGCTGTCCTGTTAGCAAAGGATTTGGGTCTTGTCAGAGGTGCTGGCAGTGGCCACTGCTCCTAGTAATAGCAGGAGGCACCGGGTTCCCTTCAGGACGCTTTCGTCCTGGCACAGGTGCTGAGGGCCCGATGTGGGCTGGGCCCCCAGAGCCCCACGACTTCCCTGCATCACGTCCCACTTAACCGCTCTCCCTGACAGCCCGTCCAAGCCCGCACACCTGGGCTGTTCGGGCAGGTCCTTCAGGCATTGGATGGCTCGGAAAAGGGAGCTGTACGAAGTGTCCCGGCCTGGTCAGGGGATGATGGGGACCCGGCCCTTGGGCCCAGCTTTGGAGCCAGTCACCTTGGTCCTCGGAGCTTCACTGGGTTCCAACTGGACCTTCCTCCCCAGGCCATGGCTTCTGCTCTGCTCAGGGCTCAGATGGGCCTCTCCATGCCCAGGGGTGGGTGATAGTTATCGTTTCCAGACTAGGTGACGATGCGAGAATTAGGGCCGAAACGGTTGATCCTGGAGGTGTCATGGCGGATTGGGAAGGGTGGAGGTTCTCGGGGTGCTCAGCCAGGGCCAGGAGAGCGGGCGGGGAGTGCTGGGAGGTTTGGGGACCGTCTGGACCTAGTCTTTGTTTCATCTCTTACTCTCTGGCCTGTGTTGTCATCTCTGAAGGCGATGCTCACAGGATACACTGGCAGGGCCGTTGGGCATGAGTAGTGCAGCCAAAAGTCGGAACAGAGCCTGGCACCCGGTGACTTCCCCTAAATGCCAGTTCTCTTTATTATTTCCCTCCTGCCAGGAACCACCGGGAAGGCACCGTCCCCACCGCCCCTCCTCACTGACCGCCAGGTGAATGAGAAGGTGGAGAACCTCTCCATTCAGCTGCGGCTGATGACCCGGGAGAGGAACGAACTGCGGAAGCGCCTGGCCTTCGCCACTCACGGGACGACCTTTGACAAGAGGTAGAGAGCAGCCAGCTCCCCTGCCCAACACTCACCAACCTGGTACCATCACATCCCCTCCCCGCCAGGGGCTCCTCAGCTCCAGGGGAAGGGGCCCAGGCTTGTTCTGCTTCTTCCAAATGGAATTGAAGCCCATGGCCTGAATCGCACAACTTGAGGATTGAAAGATGTGGGTGTGTCTATCATACATTTGGCCCTGACCGTGATGTCGTGTGTGTGTGTGTGTGTGTGTGTCCATGTCCATGAAATATATTCTCCCAGAAGACTCCAGCCTACCTCCTATTGGGTGGATCTTTATGTGACATGCAAACACATTCATTGTACCCTGACATGCATATGTATTAGGAAGAATATATTCCACATGGCTTCTTTGTTTTGAAGAAAATCTTTCATTGCTCCTGTTTCCAGGAAAGGGCAGTCTAAGGGTTGGGGCAGAGGGAGAGGCCTTACCCACCTGCATGATCCTGGGGGGCTTCATGGAGGAGGAGGAGGGATGCAGACTGGTTTATCCTTCCAGGAGATGCTGGAGGGGTCCTTGGTGTTTTAACTTCTTCCCTTTAAGAGCATCAGAGTGTGTGCCTTGTTCCGAGGAAGATTCCTCTTGGGGGAATGTCGGGCTACAAGCCGGCTCCTTGAGGTTGCACTGATGAGGACGTGCCCCAATCAGATGGCACAAAGGCAGGGCAGTGAGGACATGGTGCGCCAGCGTGCATGTTGTCCACGGCTACTTTCTTTCTTTTTTTTTTTAAATATATTTTATTGATTTTCTACAGAGAGGAAGGGAGAGGGATAGAGAGTTAGAAACATTGATGAGAGAGAAACCTCGATCAGCTGCCTCCTGCACATCTCCCACTGGGGATGTGCCCACAACCCAGCAACCTAGGCACATGCCCCTGACCGGAATCGAACCTGGGACCCTTTAGTCCGCAGGCCGATGCTCTATCCACTGAGCCAAACTGGTTTCGGCTGCCCATGGCTACTTTCATGCTGCCGAGGCAGAGTGTGTGGTTCCACAGCAACCGCGTGGCCAGCAAAGTCTAGAGTGCCGTCCTTTACAGAAAAGGGTTGCTGATGTCTGCTCTAGGGCAGGGGTTCTCAAACTCGAGTAAGCACTGTAGTCCCGGAGGCCTTACTGTTGAAGCACAGATTGCTAGTGAGCCTGCCCTCCCTCGTGTCTGATCCAGGAGGCCTGAGGCTGGCCTGACAGTTTGCATTTCTAACAAGTTCCCAGGTTATCAATGCTGCAGGACCAGGAACCTCACTTTGAGAACCACTGCACCCTGCCAGTTTTCTCAGCTTTGGCTGCACGTTGGAATCCATTGGAAAGTTAAAAAAAAAAAATTCTGATGTCTGATTCCCATCCCAGGGTGCTGATATAGTTGGCCTGGGATTTTAATGTATACCCAAGATTGAGAATCACTGGTCTAAAGAGAGAAGAAACCTCATCATAGGTTTCTGGTGGACCCACTGTGTGCATAGGCCTGTCACAAGGTCTCCCAGAAGCTCCTAGATCAGTGGTTTTCAACCTTCTGGCCCTTTACAGTTCCTCATGTTGTGACCCAACCATAAAATTATTTTCGTTTCTACTTCATAACTGTAATGTTGCTACTGTTATGAATCATACTGTAAATATCTGATATGCAAGATGGTCTTAGGCGACTCCTATGAAAGGGTCGTTCGACCACCAAAGGGGTCGCGACCCACAGGTTGAGAACCACTGTCCTAGATGGTCCATTCTCAGCTCTTCAGGCCCATGCAGAGCGCTCAGGTAGCTGAGAGCCCTCTCCATCCTGGGGATTCTCATTCTGTTAGCCTGTGTGCAGCCGGGGCATCTGAGCTTGACACGCATCCTGGTGGTTGTGGTGCGTAGGAGACTTGGTATTTGGGAACCACTGGGCTGGGGTGACCTAGGACACGGCTTCCGGGGGAAGAGACATTCCTTGTCAGTGTGTTCATGGTGCCGTTTGCTGTCTGGGCCAGGCCCTACCACAGGCTGAACCCTGACTATGAGAGGCTGAAGATCCAGTGTGTGCGGGCCATGTCGGACCTGCAGAGTCTGCAGAACCAGCATACCAATGCCTTGAAGAGGTGTGAGGAGGTGGCCAAGGAGACTGACTTCTACCAGTGAGTGGGGCCTGCCTGGCAAGAGCTCTGGCATCCACAAATGGCTGCCTCTTACCCTTCCTCATTTCTGGACTTGGAGCCAGGCCTCCTGGTTCTAGTCCTGCCTCTTCCATGAGGCCAGCAGTGTGCCTTCAGCAAGTGGGCTTGTGCCTCCATTTCCCCAAGCACGGAGTGAGGCTTTTAACCTTTCATACCATCTGTTGCAGCCTCAGAAGCAGGGTACGTCAGCAGTGATGGAGAATGGGAGATGGGGGGCCGGACACATCCCTGGGATTCTGGGTTGCTGTCCAGGGCTTTGCTGCAGCTCCTGCCACAGGAGAGGCAGATGCAGCATGCTGCCCTCTGGTCTCCTGGGGCCCCTCTGAGGGTACTTGCCTGCCCACCTGCTGTTTGCTCAGGCCCAGGTACCTCAGTACGTGGTGGTGCCAGGCCTGTCCCAGGTAGCCCCCTTGTCTGTGCACCCTTGTTGGTGTCAGGTTTTTAACAAGTGGTCTGGGTCCTTCTGGCGTCGGGCTGACAGCAGGCTTTTGCCCGCCCCTAACGCTGGGCACCCAGCTTCTGTGGTTCCCGGCTGGTGTATTGGTGGATGGGGCCCGGGCGGGGCTGGTGATGCCTGGGGTGGGGGTGGAGGCTGTCTGGGGCTCACTGTGGGGGGGTTTCAGCACACTCCACAGCCGGCTCCTGAGTGACCAAACCCAGCTGAAGGACGACGTGGACACGCTGCGGCGGGAGAATGGGCAGCTGCTGCGGGAGCGGAACCTGCTGCAGCAGTCCTGGGAGGACATGAAGCGGCTCCACGAAGAGGACCAGAAGGAGATTGGCGACCTCCGGGCCCAGCAGCAGCAGGTAGAGCAGGCCGGGTGCTGGGTGCTGGGTGCTGGGTGCAGGTCCAGGTCGCTTACCACCTACCCCTCCAGCCACTCATCCATCCACCCCCCTGATAATTTAGCAAGTATTTCTGGAGGGTTTGCCTCACATGAATCCCTGGGATCTGTGAGCAAACACTCAGGCCTTGCTCTCTGGACTCTGCAGTCCCCTGGGGAGACACATGTTAATAAAATAATCCCAGGTACCCTTGCATCATTACAAATGTTGCAAGGGTTACCAAGAAGGAGGTGCTATGCAGTGTGTACTGGGAATTAGACTTACTCTGGGGCTGGGGGCTTGGCGTCCGTAGTTTCTTTCCTCTATACGGATCCCATGAGATTGCAGTTGGAGAAGCTCGGAAACTTTAGAGCCCTGTGCAAACAAGATGGAGTGCTTATCATCGTTATTTTGGTGGGCGTGTGGCCTGTTGCTCTTGCTGCTCTCAGCATTACAAGTTAGTGTCTTTGCTTTGCTCAGCTCGTGTTTCGTGTGGACAAAGGCATGAGGGGCAGGCCAGGCAGAGCCTGGCTTCCTATGAGTGATGGTGGCCCCTTCTCCTCTTGGAACTGCCTTGGCCGTCCAGGGACATGGCAGGGCTGGTGGCATGTGCTGTGTCCACAGATGGTTGGCTGTGTGGGTTCGGAAGGCAAGCCCAGGAGGAGGCAGAGTGTTGTCCGAGCACTGCAGCCTGGGTCTGAGTAGGTAGAGAGGCCCGTCCCCATTAGAATCATTGATGGTTCCCTGAGACAAAGCAGGACTGCTGGGCTTGCTCAGCACCGTTTGGCACAACCTGAACTCATCTGATAATGGAGCATGACATTATCTTCTTTGCTTTTTCATTTGTAATGAAACATTTTTAAATTGTGAAACTTTTACCAACTTACAGCAGAGTTTTAAGTACAGTGCAGAGAATTTTCCCCCTTATCATTCAAGAGTAAGTTGTCAACCTGATGCCCCATCAGCCCTGAATGCGCTCACGTGTACTTCTGACAAGCAAGGATGTTCCATACAGCAGCCACATGGGCACCACCGGGAAGGTAGGGTACATACTACCACCCGGTCAGCAGACCCCTTCGCGTTTTGCTAATTGTCTCAATAGTGTCTGTAACAGGAAAAGGATCCTGTTCAGAATAAAGCGTTGCGTCCATTCCCCATGTCTCTTCGGCCTTTTTAAATTGGGAACAGTTCCTTGGCTTTGACCTGCATGATGCCTGGGGAGATTATAAGCCAGTTGGTTATTCTGTAGGCTGTCCCTCCACCTGGATTTTGGCAGTCCTCACTGTTTGATACCCTTTGAGCATCTTAGGCAGGACTGTCATGGTCGTGATGCTGCCACCTTCTCTTTGCATCCGACTGATTGGGACTTTGCTTGATGGGCCTGTTACTGATGATGTTCACTTCGGTCACGTGACTAAGGTGGTGTCTCCAGGCTTCTCTCCTGTGAAGTTACGTGTTTTCCTTTGGTTTACTTACCTACCTGCTTACCTACCTACTGACTCGTGGTTGGTGCTTTATTCAGCGGGTTACCGTCCACTGTGGCCAGCAGGAGCCCCTCAGGGTTGCTTCTCCGTCGTTTTGTTATGCCCTCCTCACTCTGAGTGCTTCCTTGCTCCCTGGCACAAGATGTTCCAAGTCCATTTTATAATTTCCCTGCCCTTGTCCTGGAAAATCAGCCATTTCTTCGAAGAGTCTTCATTCCTTTTAGTGGAGAATGGTATTTAGCAGCAAGATCTGAATGCTGGGTGCATTCATAGCTACTGGGGTATCACTGCTCCCAGGGCCTCCCAGTGGACAGAGTAGGGAATGTCTGTGGACACCCCTGCACCCCTACACTCAAACCTCTCTCTATCCCTTATGTGTCTATATCTTCAATAGGTAACATATATGTGGAAAACAGGAGTTGACACACTTTCAGTTCCAGTCCAATACTGCAACACCACAGGGCTCATTCTTTTACTCTTCCCATTTTTTGTAATTCACTTTCACAGCGGTGTGAAACTTGGTTCCTGTTACTGTGTGTGGGTTTTTTTGTTGTTTTTTTGTTAATCCTCACCTGAGGATATTTTTTTCCATTGATTTTTAGAGAGAGTAAAAGAGAGAGGAGAGAGAGAGAAACATCGATGGGAGAGAGACATTAATGTGAGTTGCCTCCCGCAGGTACCCTGATTGGGGCTGGGGATCGAATCTGCAACCCTGGTCAGGTTTGTGCCCTTGAATCAAACCTGTGACTCATCAGTGTGCAGGCCGACACTCTAATCCCTTAGCATCACTGGCCACGGCTGGTTCCTATTGTTCTTAATCTGTTACTTGGTCAGCCCCACTGTGTACCCTCATCCCATCTCCTCTCTAGCTCCCTTCCCACTCGTTCCCTTCTTACCCTTTTGGGCTCCCATGTTCTGTGCATTCCCTCCGCCAGCCTCACCTGTGCAGGTCCCTCCTCATCCTGTGCCGGCTCTGGCGCCCACTCTGGGCTCCACAAGAGCCACACACAGACTGTAGCTCCAGGTCCTGCTCGGCCTCACTCATGGCTGTCAGGTCAAAAGGTCAAATTGTTCAGAAAGGGGAAGGGCAGGACTTTCTTTTCATTTTTATACTACCTTTTTAATTGCAAAATTCATATGCATTTTAATAAAAGAATCAAACAATACAGGCATTTTAAAAATAAAGGTAGAATTCCCCCCGTTGTCTGACTCCCAAGAACTAACTACATTGAGCACACTGCCAGTGGGAAGTTGGAGGTTTTCATGTGTGCACAGAAGCCTTGTATCTTGTCAGGTTAGTTCACAAACTGGAACCACGCGTCCGTTATGTTGTGGCATTTTTCTTGCTGAATGTATAGCGTGAGCACCGTCCTACTTCAGGACAGAGCCCACGTCCCCGTTTGTCATGGCTGCAGAACAGTGAGTCACAGAGACGCACTGTGATTGCTTCAACCAGGCCCCTTGCTGACGGGCTCCTGGGCTGTTTTCGGGATTTTCCCATTTAAACTGTCGAAGAGCTGGCTTCTGTGGTTGACGTTCTGTGATCTTTGTTGAAGTCTTAGTGGCATTCCCAGTCCAGGCTCAGGGAGGGGCCCGAGGCGATGTACTCGGACTTATCCCATGTCTTCGTGAGCCCTCTGATCAGGGGACTTGGTCCTGGGCCGGAGTTGGTAGCCCTGATGGAGCCTCCCCTGCTGGTCCGCCCCCCTCCCCCCAGCTCCAGACTCCACTGCCTGCCTCTTTCCTTCTGTCCCTCTAACAGTTCCAGGATCAGGACCGGGGTGGGCGGTGCTGGGGGAGCACTGCTTTAGGGACGAAGGGAGGCTCGAGGAGAAAGTGCGGTGCCAGCCCATGGTCAGTGCCAGGCTGAGTGCATTGAATTTCCCTGCGTGTCCACGGAGCTTCCTAGAGCAAAGGGTTAAGGCGGTGCATTTTCAGTTGTTCAGAGGCAAACCATTTTACCCCAGCCGGAGCCCTCTGCAGAAACCCCGTGCGTGAGGCGGGTCAGGATGACTGCTGTGGGGAGTCAGGCACAGGGCCAGTCACAGATCAAGTCCATGTACGATATGAGCCCATTCACAGGAAGTGTCCGGAACAGGGAAATCTGTGGGGACAGAGAGGCTGAGGGAGGGGAGGATGGAGAGTGTCTGCTAAGGGGATGGTTTCTCTTCGGGGTGATGAAATGTTCTGGAATTGGTTAGTGGTAGTTGCTGCACAACTTTGTGACTGTCCCCAAAACCACTGAATTGGGCACTGAAAGGGGGAATTGTATGGTATGTGAATTATATCTCAAAATAAAAAGACTCCAGTTATCACCTTGTCATAAAAAAAAGGAAGAAATCAGCCCTCATGAGGCAAAAATGTCCTTGCCTCCCGATCCGTTTTCCCTCAGGCCTGTGACGGCTGTGCAGACAGCCAGCCTGAGATGAGCGCCCCCCCTGCCCCCCTCCCCCTGCTTCCCTGCTCTTCCCACACATGGCAGGGAAGGTTCCCCCCACCCCTCCTCCATCCCTGTTCTCCTTTCTTTCCCATAGCTGTGACCCTGGGAGGCGTAGTTTATTAGAGTGGTCAGTGAGTGTCCCCAGTTCCGTTCAGCGGGACTAGTGCCCTTACCATGAGCCACCAGGACCCCACCAGGACAGGAGGCACGGCTGGGGGTGGATCTCCGAGCTGCCAGGCCACTGGCTGCCCCCGGCATGCGCCTTCTCACCTGGACCAGGTCCGGGGTAGGGGCCTGGCTGAGCAGAGCTCTGGCCCTGGTAGGTCAGCAGCGGAGGACGCAGGGAACACGGGAGGCCCAGGTTTCCTCCCCACGGGCCTGGGGGCAAAGGTTGCCCTTGCTGGACAAGGCCGGTTTTGTTGCCCGGTTCCTCCCACGCCTTGTTCACTTGAAGAGGCCCTTGCGGGGTAAATGGTGCTGTTTGACTTGCTTGTTTGCTTGAGGGATTTGTGGGGCTCCCAGCCCTCTTCATGATTTATCTCCGAGGAAATGAGGCTGCCCCAGGTAGGTTTCTCAGTCAGAATGCACCACTTGAATTCTCATTTGTGTCAAAAGTGTCCATAACTCCTGGGCTGAGATTGCTGACCCGGGTGGGGGCGCAACACAGAAGGCATTTTTACATCGTTGACTTTACCACAGCAGTGCGTATGCTTTGGTAAGAAAAGGAGAGAACCTCAGACAGCAGTGCAGTGCCCTCCACCCCAGGCTCCC